GTTGCAAGAAATCGCACCATTTTATGGTCGAATAGATTCAAATTTCATTTTTTCTCATCGTAGGTGCGCAATAATACACAACACAACGTTTATGAATGAGTGACGTCACTTGATTTCCTAATCACTACTCATCCCCATGGTGTCCCTCCACAAAAAAAGTTTCTGCCACCGCTTCGCAACATCAAGGCAATATTGATAATGAAAAGTAGATAAGATCACACAAAATTAATTAAACCCTCTAAAACGATGATGTTACCATGCAAATGTGGATGATTTTAATTCTTGCAAGCGTAAAATATTTGAGCGTGTGACGTCATCGTTATCGTTTGGTGGTTTTCGTCATCGGAAGATTGTTTTGATTATCTCTGCACATTGGGGTTCTGTACTTGTGAATACTAGTTTACGTTCAATGTTCTTCCATCGACTGGAGCCAAAACTTTTGAGTGTGTGTAATTAGGTGCACCCAGTGTGCTTGAATGTGACATTGCTGAGGTTACGTTCAATATCAATGGGGGACTACTCTTCTTCGCCACAGCCTTCTCGTTTTCCCGAGCCAGAAACTGCCACTTGGAATGTAATGGAATTTACGGAGTTTTCAGTATGAAATGTGAGTTGATTACATCCTGCATGTTATCAAGACTTTTCATTATCATGCGTCGGAGGAATGTCTTGAGCAATGACTTTTGTGTAGATCAACCGTTCCTGTACATGTTCGATTGAATAGAAAAGACGTGTGCCGCCATTTGCACTCATGAAGCCTTGCAAAACGTTCCATGTTGTACATTGTTTCAACGAGTGTGTTTTGGTTCTGATTGTCATGAGTGAATTTGATAACATTGGAATCACATAGTATCTCGGAGCTGGAAGTGGGTCTTCATCATGTTTATCAGTGAAAAAATGTCATCTTCATCAATGCATCAAAGAAACAACGAGGCAAATCGATCTCACAATGGACAGGCACTGGCGTTATTGTGTCAGGTATTTTTGCAAGACGACACATGACACTTGTCGCATCTCTCCAGTAAAAGTACCAATGTTGTACATTTTGAATATTCGAAGGGAATCAAGGGGGGAGTTGTTTAGCCAATCCGCTGTGTAGCGCTGCGCTTCTATTGGCTGAACAACGCCTCGGTGCATGCATCGCAGCGCTTCGGTGTGCAGCGACTGAGAGAGGTGCTTCCCGCGTAAGCGAGAGACATTCAAAATGGCGTCACGGCAATGTAATTCTTTATGTTGACAGTAGATCTTTGACTTTTGGACGCATTCTGGTCACAAAGGGGTAAAAAGCTGTCGAGATGTAGTTTCTAGTTTCTTCTCATGAGTTGTTGCGCATACAATTCAAAATCAGTGCATGGAATATCTTCTGCAGCTTCGTGTGCCAAAATTGTGGCTATAATCGGTGATGTGTTTGCATTGGACGACGCCATATTAAATGAAGCGCTCACACAGCAGTCCGTTGCGCGGGAAAGCAGGCAGCGTAGCTTGGAAACTTTTGCTGAAAAACGCGCCCCTGGGCTTTATCTCTAACGGTGATTTTCACATAATTGTTCACACAGGTATCACTGATTGTTCGAGCCATTTTGAATTCGTGACGAGAAATCAAAAGTTTTAATAAAAAGAATTAGAAAATAAATAGATTCGTGTTATATTTATTCTACTTGTGACTCATTGTATATATACCTAAATAACAGGTAGGTGTAAAGGGGTATTTTTTGCAAGAGTAACAGGTGTCTGTTCGATTGAAGCACGAGTAACTTATCAATGAATTTTAATCAGGAAAGTAGTCCGTCATAACCTGACCCTAGGTCATCACCATGGAGTAGCCAATCACGGGATTAGAAATCGATCTCACACATATGCGTGAAGCCAGTTTTCTCACATGGGTTTCTCACCCACGGGTGTGTAAGAAAACCATAGAATAATTGGGTATAAATTCAATTTGTCAAATTGTCGCAGCAGCGACGCCTCGACTGACGCAAGGATCACGCACGACAAGAGTAAACGCAGTTTCTGATTAAATCTTTCCGTTAGAATGAAACAAATAATATAACAATACGTTAATAGTCAGAATGTTTCTGATTACTTACATACAAAATGTATAATACAGATGCTCCCTGAATCCTTGAACTGATTTTGAGATGCCACATTCGCCACAGAAGACTGACGGTTTTCCTGCGCGGCAAGTGCCATGTGGGAAGCGCAAGCATCATCGCTTGACCTGCTCAACATCCTGCTGATCTTCGTAGATGTGCGAATTAAGATTATTGAAATCAAAATCGAATAAGACCGATTTTCCGTACTATTTGGAACGAAGATTGCGATCGATACTCAACAATTTGCTCTTCAGTTAGACCCATCCTCTTTCTTGACCACCATCACAAATTTGGATAGCAATTTGTCTGTTTCAGGATGAACTCAGAAGTCTGGCACACACATGGAATTTTCATCATATGAGAGCCAACAAGAAAACCCCACCAGGTCTGCATGGTAAACCAGCAGTGTTGTATTCGTTACCAACATTATACGACAAGGCAGACCACGTCAAAACTGTCGACCCAGAGGTTCTGCTACAGTGTGAGGAAGAGGCCACCACACGTGACATGCGAATGCCCTGTGACCCAATAGTGTTTGAGTTGTGTGCTCTGATCATGGAGGAAAAACAGCTGCAGTTTCCAGAAGATAAGACTGAATTAAGTGAACTGTATTTAACACTCAGGAGAGAAATACGACACGAACTGTTTCTGAATTAACTTCTGAGTGAACGAGATAATGAACAATATCATTATCATAATAACAGGACGATTTCCCCGATCTGTAAAAGGAAAGATCAAGCTAGATATTGTTCTTTTACATCTGAGTAATTTATATTTGTCCCTTTCTGTTGACAGTGATTGTTATAACGCCGCATCAGTAGTTTTGTGACGAACGTAATGATAAAATATGCCCAAACTCTGTGACATAATAATAATAAACAATTTGAAAGAGCAGGTTCTCCTTGTCAAGTTCTTTTCTAATGATACTGACATGACATTTGGACTCGACAAATGTAATACTCTTCATTTGAAGAGTCAGGGTAATTAATGATGGATTGGTCAAGTTACAAGGGGGATGAGCATCTTGCGGAAGATCAGGCCTACATCTATCTTGGAATGCAAGTTCGAAACAAGCTTCAGAATGCCCAGTTTCAAGACACACTTCGGGCCGAGTAATAAACTCGCTTAAAGAATCTGGAGCTCAGAGCTAAATGCTTGAGACACGGTCATAGTCACCAATACTTTTGCTGTGCCAGTCCTTTCCTATTCCTCTGGAGTAGTTGATTAAATAAAACAAGACATCCAGAGTCTTGACCGCCTGACCAGAAGATCATGTTTGATAACAGAGACCACTACCCTCGTTCCACTCTCAGTCGTTTATATAATGCAAATTAATTCGAAAGGTCGGGGTTTGATTAAGTGGAGGCTTTTCATGGTAGAATTTTGTGTGTACTTATATGTCAGATGGTCCTCTGGTGATGTATGTCAATGAAGAAACAAGGAATTCCACAGCCATGTTAAGCATGCCAAGGTTGCTGGACAGAATCTGAAATTTGAGGTTGATATTGTTGATGGCGATCTATTGTTGGACGGTACAGCGATGGTAGTAAACCAGGTGAAGTCCTTCACCAAGTCTGTCCAGAGTCGGTTATTCGTGGAGAAGCTTTCTGAGAAACCATCACATCGTGTGTACATGCAGTGTGGGGAACAGAAGAGCAATCCAGCGGACTCCTTCGCCAGGAAGAAGTCACCTGGTCTTAATGTGAAACTGGGGGCTTTCTTTTTGCAAACGCCAAAATGTGATTCTTAAAGAAAATATTAACATGTAATGTAGACTTTGCAATCAAATCACAGAGACTGTCCAACACCTTGTGAGTGGATGCCCTTCCTTGGCACAAACAGCATACCTTAAACGGCATGATGGTATGGCTAGTTGCTGCTACTACCGTCTCCGCCATGCCTGTGGCTTTGACTCCGCGGTGCATCCATGGTACGACCCTGAATATGTCCAGGGCGTCGTTGAAAATGATGCTTTCAAACTTGGAATAGGCTCATGTACAGCCTCAGAAGAATTCCATCTAACAAACTTAATCTTGAACTTTTTGATAAGGCCAATGAATGTATTTATATCATTGAATTTTCTGTCCCTTTTGACAGTAATGTATTTGACGAGATTCAGGAGAAACATGGCAAATATGGTGGCCTCGCTTGCACAACCTTTTGTTCGCAGCCTAAGTAGCAAGTTGATCATGTCCCCATTGTTCTTGGCGTCTTAGGTTTCGTACCTGCTACCCCCCAACCTCTTGGGAGAATATCCAGGTTTGCTTCCAGGAACACCGCCAATTGGATACTCTGGGAAAAGTCCTTCCAATCCAAACCATTCCATGCTTATCAACAACCGACTCAGAGATTATTATGCAACAACATTTTGAACATCATACCTAATCAAAATAGGAGTTCAATTCGCATTTAAGTTCAATATATGTTGTGTAAATGTGAACATTGTATTCAAAGATCATGGGTTTTGTCAAGGAATTGGATATGATAAGATGTACCAATCATCATAATAAACACCACAGAAAAAATACACAAAATATAATCACAGTAGTGCTTGAACTGGTCATTATTTTTATTGTAACTTAACATTGTATGGATATCAAAACAATGAGATCAAACAATTAATGCAAATGGCAGCAATACATGACAGGGTGTCATAAAAAAAACCTACTTTATTGTATCAACCTGACAAATGAGTATAAACGTCATTGTAAACTTTTCTTCAATCAGGAATACCGGAGTTTCTTATTGTCCTCGTCGATATTTGAGTTTTGCTAATCATTTGTAGCAGAATCAACTCATGAAATGTGAACTAAAATCAAATATACTTATGAAAGTATCAAACTAAATTGAAGTCTGTGATTTTGGAAATATCACGCCAAACGTCAAACTTGTTATAACAAAAGATTCCTAAACAAAATCCATCACCCACACACCGCTCTCGAGGATCGTGTTGAAGTCCTTCCTGAAGTCAAGGAAGTTGTCGTATTGGCCAGGTAGCTCAAGTACCTGTCCACAAGTGTGAGCAACTGGCCTCCTTGCCAGACCTGATAGTGTTGTGAAACGAATGTAGATTGGCTTTTGGTGACCATAACCATCTGTGATACACAAGTTGGCCCCAGTGCAGAACCTGAGAAACTGGGAGAGATCATCTTTTTCCAGTTCACGGACATATTTTCTGAGGAACTCCGATGTACTTTTCTGTTGCAAGGACATGTCGTCTGGAAATGAAAGCATCTTCATCACTTTCCGATTGTTTGGCCTGAGGGAGTCATACAGTGAATCAAGGGATGTTTCTCCAAGACTGAACCCCAACAAAGTCATTTTATCGAACCATGCTCCTTTTACATACATTGGCTGCTGAACCATCTCCTTGTGTGCTATCTCGCCAATCAACCTCTTGAGAGTTTCCTTTGTGGGCAGAACTCTACATTCATGGACAATGAGGACATCAATAACGTCCTCCTCCTCAAAATGACCTTCCAAGGATGCCTTGAGTATGCCAGCCTCTGAACATGGAAGGAAGGAAAGGTATTCAGGTATAAGGGATTCTTTTGTTGTTGAAAATATATCCATGCCATAAATGCAACACGCCATAAAAGACTTTGCTATGCTAACGGGAAGTAGTTCTGCCACTTCCATCCGAAATAGAGAATGGAAGCAATTGCCTGCCAGTCATCACTGTCATAATCATGCCTTATAAATGGCTCCTTACAAACTCTTCTGAGGCAACACTGTTCAAAGAAAGAATCCCAGAACTCTACTAAAGCATCTCGCATGACTCCTCCATTGTCTTCGGCAACCTCCATTTCTCCATTTGGCAAAATCATTTGGAAATTGAAAATATCCTTATTTAGATTAAAAGTTTTTTCTTTGAATTTTTCTTTAAGTTCCTGGAAGACATGTCCTCTGTGTATACGTATGGTATGCTGGCTGACATTGGCTTGTGCTGTCTGGTGTTCAAGATCTGCAAGGAAGTTGTCCAGAAGATCAATATCAACTGAATATGGTTCAACCTCAGCATGTAGAGGCAGGATATTTGGTAACTCATCGATATCATCACTGTGATCATCTGTGTTTCCTGCAGCTTGTGCCTGGTGATCCTGCTGATCCCCCTGGTTCTGTGGTTCAGAATTCCAGCACGGTGGCTGATGCTGTTGACCTGGTGGCTGATGCTGTTGACCTTGTTCCAACGTTTGTTGTCCTGGTTGATCTTGATAAGCTTCTCCCCAAGTTTGCGGTCTTGAATGGGTACTCTGGACACAATGACCAGGGACAGGATCTTTGGTGGTGGTATCTTGTACCTTCTTCATCGCCAAATAAAACCTCAGGTTGGTCAGTCGAGTAAGATCAGACATATCCTGAACAGTGACATCCTCATTCAGAATGACAAACTGATAGTCCATGACATTGAACTCATAATCAGTTTCGGGTCCAAATTTTATTGAATGTCCCTCTGGGAAGAAGATCTTCTTAGCTTGAGCAAGAAGATCTTGCTTAGTTGACTGTTTCAGAACCGATATATTCCGAGTACCACCTCCTGATTTAGTTCGGACTTGAGTATACATCATTTTCTTTTCTTCGAAATTCATAAGCCCAATCCCCACCTGTTTTGTCAGTTTGACAGCATTTCGACTTTGTGGACCTATATCTGTTGGGTCGTCACTTGTGGACGGTCGGCTCAGTTTGATGCGCAGACGATCAAATAAACTCTGCTTCCGTTTAGAAGTTTTCTTCTGAGAAGCCATCTCTGCTTGTTCAATCTGAAAAGACTTTAGATTAAGCACTGAAAGTTTATGTGACCCATGAAAACAGCCTGAATTGTAATGGTCAAATTGGATTCAATGACGTCGTTTCTCATTGTGCATATAAGGCTAATTATTGATTGTATTCATGACTGTTTTGTTACCAGAGTGATACCAAAGTCGGCCATGCGATAACAATCACCTCGTCTGGCTCTATTTTGCCAGACGTATGTCAGACGTCACATATGTTCAAATGGTTCAATATATTTCACACTTGGACGGCATAAAAAGGCCTGCTCAAGATGTGAGAAATACAATTTGTCATGACGGTATTATTTAAAACAAAGCCCATTTTGGCATAGATAGATGAGTTGTTTCCTACATGCTTTAACATGGGTTTGTGACAAACCGGTTTGCTTAGAAGGGACGTACACAATAAGCTCTATACCGACTTTATACGTCCTGGGCTAAACACTCACATATATCTGTTAAATTATGATACGCACCGGTACTTAGGAAAGGAATTGCAAAAACGTCTCTAACTGCAAAAAGAAGATAAGGCTACAGTCTTATTCTAATGTCAAATGCCGCTAAAGGAAAACCTGTATCTAGCATGTATCTTGTCATTGAAATTTATTAGAAAGAGAAACTTACGTTCACTGCATCTGTGCGAGTAGCATCTGTAGTTTCAGATCTGCCTGGACTAGCCATCCTTCCTATCGAAGAGACATTCCCCAAATGGTGAGCTACCACATGATTCGCATGGTCTTGAAATTTCAAGATAATTAACTTAAAATATATTTTCATGTCGCATGGTAAAACACATTATCTTGAAATTTCAACTTACTAATCTTGAAATTTCAACTTATTCATCTTGAAATTTCAACTTAGTATCTTGAAATTTCAAGAAGAAATTAAAAAAAACGCATGGCCCTAAAAGGCTTCCGTAGTTTTGGCAACCATAATAATAATTTTCTTTGAAATCTGCACTAAAAAAGTAAGTACTTTTGTCTTAACAAATGCTGAGAGGGAAAATAGATATGATGATTAAAAACCAGTGTCTTTGCAAACAAGTACGGAAGCCTATTAGGGCCACGCTACGCTATTATTGAGCATCTTGTATCTTGAAAATTCAACTTAGTATCTTGAAAATTCAACATCCTTTCTTGAAAATTCAACTTAGTGTCTTGAAAATTCAACTTGTCTTGAAAATTCAACTTGTTATCTTGAAAATTCAACTTAGTATCTTGAAAATTCAACATCCTATCTTGAAAATTCAAGAAAATTAGTACTTAAATGAAATGTTCTTCGTTCATTATGCGCTTTTCCAAATTCTCTGTACACGAACTGTGTATGACATATGACAATGGAGCAAAGCAGAGACAATATAATCTCTATGTATTTTTTCCTTAGGATTATCTAACGCCGAAATTCACAATATGCACAATATCATGGCATGATTATAAGTGTAAGGACACTGAAAAGGGTTTTGTCCAAATGCAAACTTCACAGGAGAAAAGGCCATTCTGATATGGAAGTGGCTTTGTTCATTTTGCAACAGTGTGACACATCGGGTAATTGTAATGGTTACAGGTGGATGCATCGTAAATGTCAGGAGAGCGGACTCATAGTTTCAAAAGAAACTATTTTGATACTTATGAATCTAATTGACCCAGAAGGAGTAAGGAATCGCAAGAAATGCCGCCTTGCATGCCGCAGTTATATTTCAACCGGCCCAAATGCACTTTGACACATGGACGGATATGATAAATTGAAACCTTATGGCATATGTATTCACGGATGTGTGGACGGATTTTCTAGATGTGTTTTGTGGATGGATGCATGGACGACAAACAACGATCCCAAAGTAGTAGCTGGATATTATCTTGACACTGTAGAACGACTGCATGGATGCCCAGAAAGAATCAGATCAGATGCTGGTGGTGAAAATAGGCACGTAGAGCAGATGCAGCTGTTGCTTAGACATGACCACAACGACAGATTTGCTGGAAGTAAAAGCTTTCTTTATGGCTCAAGTGTCCACAACCAACGTATTGAGTTTTGGTGGGGTATATTGAGAAAGCAGTGTGTGCAATACTGGATGGACATGTTCAAGCACCTGAAAAATGAAGACTTATTTTGTGGAGACTACCTTGACAAGAGCCTGGTGCAGTTCTGTTTCCTTGATGTCATTCAGGTATGGTATTATATTTTCATATGTTCATATAAAGCAAATAAGACATTTACATGAATTAAAATATGTTTTCAAAGTAAATGTATGCATGCATGGACACTTTACAATAAAATCTGTCAATGTGTTATGTCATCACACCTATGTTGTACTTGATGTCATATCAGTAACCCGTGAAGGTCCGGGTTAGAATTGGCCTTCAGTAACCTATGCTTGTCGTAAGAGGCGACTAACGGGATCGGGTGGTCAGGCTCGCTGGCTTGGTTGACACATGTCGTCGGTTCCCCATTGCGAAGATCGATGTTCATGCTGTTGTTCACTGGATTGTCTTTTCCAGATACGAATATTTATAAGTAAATAGTAACATATACTCATCCCTTTCATTTCAGAAGGAAATCAAAGATGTTGCACAAACATGGAACTTTCATCAGATACGAGCAAACAAAAACAATCCTAGTGGAAAACCATCTGTTCTATTCTCCCTTCCCCAACTTTATGGAGCTGAAGATCATTTGAAGCATGTGTGTCCAGCCTCTCTGGAACTTTGTAGACAGGAGTGTACCCCGAGAGGTGAGGTGAACTGTGACCCAACAGTGCATGAACTGTGTACTTTGATCATGGAGGACATGCAATGGCAGTTTCCCGATGACAAGAAGAATTTGTTGCATTAAGAAGTGAGATCAGAAAAGAGCTTTGATGTACGAAACTGTCTGAAAATCAACCTTTGCTCCTCAGATGAACATAGCAGATACATACATGAGAAATGGAAGAAATGTTTCATGAATAAAGCCATTTTATAGTCATCTCAGTCTTTTTCGTTCAGAGAAAATAAGAGATTTTTTCACATTTGCTTTCAATCCATTGACTGCAGTTCGTAGAACTGGTACTTGTTATATATTATAGTATTATTTGAGCAGCGAAATATGCAAAATATGTAAACAATTTCAAATATTGAAAATGATATAGCAGCATGTCTGTTTGTAGTTGGGTTGGTATGAAAAACAGTTTAAGCTGAAATCTTACAAGTGCAAGGGAACAGGATTGCTAATCCGGTTAAATCTGGTATAAGAAATTAAATGAAATTTAATATTGAGTTGGGGTTTTATGCCGCTTTCAAGAGTATTGCTCTTAATATGACAGTGGCTAGTATTTGTGTCGTCAACCAATGAACCGTTGTGTTAACTGCTATGACACCTGCCAGCAGCGACTGGAGCTAGCGATCCATGCATAGGCGTTACTGTTCTGCTCTCAGTTAGGTTTAAGTTTCAGGGCCCAGATTTTCGAAGCTCTCTTAGCACAAAGATAGGTGTCGCCCAATCTTAGCAGTAAGTCAGCATCGAAAATCCATGTCCCGAAGCTCTGTGTATATTTGCTGAGTGTAGAACAGTTCCCGACTTTAGATAAGGGGAGACTCATGATAGCACATGTCACAGTGGTTAGCGCGTTAAACATAGAACCAAGAGGTTCGGTGAGTCTTTGCATTGGAGAACTGTATTCTGCAGACAGTGAAGTTTGAGTACTAGTAGTATTGAGATTCAGTGTAGTACCACCCTTGGTTCTTTGATTCCAACCAATCATTGCTCTCTTCCTGCAATAATACCAGCCGTCGTGATAAAAATGTTTAACACTGCATTCAAGAATATTTCACTTTATATCGGCTGTTGTATTGTTGCAGGAAGAATGCTCGCACCCCCAATTTGTTTTGTGTAACATTGCATCCAAACCTGACTGCGTGTAGAACAGTTCTCAATATTGCAGACTAAGTTGTTGTGCCCTTGGTGGAATTCGAACCTGGAACCTCTTGAACCAAAGCCAAACAGCTAACCGCTGTGCTTGTTAAAACCCACTTCAATCACTCCATTGCAACCTCCTATTTCAAAGCTAAGCTCTCAAATTAATAGTGGTCAAAGATAACCAAGACACAAAATGAGATGTTTTATTTTTTCACTCTTTCTTCATAGTGACAATCTCAACTGGAACAGTGAACAGTAATCATTAGCAACAATTGCCTGCATGAAGTAACACATAATTTTTTCAACATAATTTTACACTTTTTAAAATGATATAAAAATATCAATATAGAATGAGATCTTTCATTTTGTACAGTGACCCCTTTGAAGGAAACTTGAAATGAAACTGTATTCTAAAATTAAAATACTTTATACGAACATCTTGTATGTTGGGAGGGATTAGGATAAAAACACTTGTGTATCACACAACAAGAACAAAAGTGAACAATAAAGTCACTTCCAGAAAGTTCACATAAACTCAGAGTAAAGAGGTGTTAAAAGTCAAAGTGGGAGGCTGGATTAAATCACACAAAGTCCATTATCCAAATGTCACTTCTGAGCAGTGAGTTGAATTCGGCCCTGAATTCAATGTAACTGTCATACTGTTCAGGTACGTCCAGTACCTGTCCACAAGTATGGCCGACAGGTCTTCTTGATAACCTTGACAGGGTGTTGAACCTGACAAATATTGGCTTGTTTTCTCCATTGCCAGTTGTGAGAAGCAAGTCAGAACCAGTACAAAAACGTAGAAACTTTGATAAGTCATCAGAATTTAGTTCCCGGATGTACTTTGTTAAGAAGCCAGATGTCGCACTCTAAACAGGACTCATTTCGTCTGGAAAAGATAAAATCTTGATCACTTTGCGGGGATTTGGCTTTGCAGACACATACAGTGTTTCCAAACTGGTGTTCAGATCGAAACCAAGAGCTGTTAACTGGTTGAACCCGCAGTCTTTTACATACATGGGCTGCTGGATCACTTCCTTGTGGGCGATTTCCCCCAGGATCTTCTCCAGATTTTCCTTGGTTGGAACCACACGACATTCGTGCGACCCGAGAATGTCCATGACTTCCTCCTGGTCAAAATCATCCTTTAGTGCTGCAGAAAGGATTCTTGATTCACCTTCCGGCAAAAACGAGAGAAAATCCGATATCATGGTTTTTTTGTTCTCTGAAAAGATGTCCATTCCATAGATTGCACAGGACATGAAAGCTTTTGATAAACAAATAGGGAAGTACCGCTGTGTAGACCAGCCGAAGAAAATCACTGTTGCAATTGACTTCCAATCAGCATCTGAATAATCATGCCTCAGAAAAGGTACTTTGCAATCATTGCCAAGCGTACATTTATCACCGAAAGACTTCCAAAATTATGTAAGTGCATCTCGTACAACACCCCCGTTATCCTCAGCAATTTCAGTCTCGCCATTTGGTAGCACCATTTCCAATGTAAAGAGATCTTTTGAAAAATTGAAAGATTCGTCTCGGAATTTTGCCATCAACTCCTCATAGACATGTCCTCTGTGAAGGCGAATGGTATGTTTTTTCACCATGTTGTGTGCATTTTCAAACTCACTGAATAGCATATCAATATCAATGCTAGATTCTGTAGGTTCCGTTATAGTGGGATCCTGAGGTACCTCAGCTGTGAAGGATTGTACTGGAGGAAAGGAGTCAATCAATAAGACATCAGCCATACTGGATTCTGTGACATGCTCCCCTGTCACGTTGCCAGCCAGCGGTGTTAGTTATTGACGTTAGAGAAGGAAGAGAATCATTAGATGATGTGTCAGTTCCATGCAATGGGATGTCGTTCTTGGAAGTTGTTTTGTAACATGTTGTTTTATCTTCATACTCAGACGAGGATGTGATAGTGGATGTTTTGGCTCCAGTTCCTGGTGATATTGGTTTACTAGGCCCTGGAGTTTCATCAGGTAACTCACTCAGATCTTTGTCTTTGATGATGAGGTAGAACCGAAGATTTTTCATCTTGGTTATTTCACTTATTTGCTGTATTGTGAACTGCTCCTCTAATTTAACAAACTGGTAATCCATGACATCAAAGTCAAACTGCGTTTCTTCTCCAAGTTTTACTGAGGTTCCGTTGGGAAAGAATATGGTCTTAGCTGAGGTCAGAATGTCCAGTTTTGTTGAGGTCTTTGGCAATGATGTGCTACGTGTACCACCACCAGAGTTTGTCCGAACTTGTCGAAAAACCTTCTTCTTCCTGTCGAATTTCATCAACCCAATGCCCACCGTTTTGCTTTCCTTCATTGCATTTTTGGCTTGGGCATATTTCTGTTCACATTGGTTGTCTTTGCTTGGAGATGAGCCTTTCTTCAGTTTCATACGCAGTCTTTCAAATAAGCTTTGTTTTCTCTCATCATGTTTTCTCTTCACAGGTTTAACAAATCCTCTCAGCGCTAATCTGTCCCCAAATGCGGGAATATACTGCGAGAGCTGTTCATCAGTCATCAGATCTATACATGGACCATCAATCTAAAACGTAAAGTTTTGATTATATCTTTGAAACGAACTGCTGGCAATGAAATAAATTTCAAAATGTAATGATTTCAGATTTTCTTTTGAAAATTTCAGAATTTTCAGGACATTTTTTTTGAATGAAGCATACTGCATAGAAAATGCTAAATTGGAGACATCAAAATATGCTATATTTGACCATGCTTGCATTATATATGAGTGAGTTAGTTTAGATTTACACCGCACTCAGCAATATTCCAGCTATATGGCGCTCTGTGAATAATCGTATCTGGACCAGACAATCCAGTGATCAACAGCATGAACATCGATCTACACAATCAATTGGGAACCGATGACGTGTCAACCAAGTCAGCGAGCCTGACCATTCGATTCCGTTAGTCGCCTCTTTCGACATGCATGGGTTACTGAAAATCAATTCTAACCCGGATATTCACGAGTCACATTATATATGACAATATATATTAATGCAGGGTACGAATTCGTCTTTTTTCAGTACCTGCACTAAGTGCAGTTGAGTGTTTATACCAGACTGCATCAAAGAGACTCAGACTGCACCCTCAGTGGTCACGTTAATGTGTTCCATTTTATGAGTTTGTATAATAAAAAATAACTATTAAATACACTTGTTTTGTTTTTATTCATGTGAAAGAAAGCTGAACAACTTAGCATGAAAAGGAGAAAATGTTTTGATGCACTAATATCATAGTCTATTAAGTGCATCATGGTATCATTGTTAGTCTTGAAACTCTTAGTATGGTAAGTCACATTATTGCTACATACTAGCATTAGTAGATTTACTCACTCAGTCATCCAAGTCATCATCACTATCATCACTTGACCATGCTGCAGAGTCACTGTCAGTAGGTAGGGGTTTTCTCTTCCCATACGGCTGTCTTGGGAACCTTTTACTTTTACTTAACCAAAGACTTACTGGTCCATCAGCATTAAAGTCTTTCAGAGCTGGACCATTTAGCTTGAGTGACATCAAGTCTGTCAGACTGTCTGACGTTAGTTTAGATCTCCAGTCTGTTTTAACACGCTTCATAAGTGAGAATCCCCCTCTCACAGATGGCACTATTGACTGGGAGGGTAATGATGATCCTCACAAGTGCCATAAGATCACCATATTCTGGCAACTGGGCCATCTTTTGCCATACAGCAAGGAACGATAATGTTGCCTCAACACTTTTCATCTTCAGAATTTTCTTTTTAGCACCAGTCCACTGTAGAAGAACATTTTCCAAAGAATATCCCTTTCTTGTCAGGGGGGCTTGAAAATGTGTGAATATTTCTGTTACTTCACTGTCACCATATGTCCTGAGAACATCTGGGTCACTTGGCCATTCATCTGGATTCAGTACAGATGATCCTGCTGAGACAGCATCTTTAATGTCAAAACGCTTGGCAAGGTTTTCTTGCATATTTGCCACAACTTTCTCACCATCAGAAACAGCGTTAGCAATTTCTGTTTCAGGTTTTTCCTTAATCTTCGATCGGCTTGGTGCCCTTTCAAGTATGCTGAGGGAGTACACATTGAATTGGTACAACTTCTTGGTATCACTGGGTACCTCTGTCACATGAATACCTTGCATCATGGTATCTTTCAGGTGATCCCCAGACATCTTCTCCATTTCCGCACATGTTGTTTCAATGGCTTCATGGACAGTGTGTAGGCCTGACTTGTCTGACTGAAAGACTTTACTTAGTTTTGAGAGCATGTTTAGGAATACCAAGTAAAAGTTCAAAAGCATAATGAATTTGATAGACTGTATCACTTTCAAAATGGCTCTTGCTTTTTCCTGATTGTGAGCATTGCCAACCCTTGCCTCATTTTCCAAGTGTGTCACGATTGCATCATACGATTGGTGAACAGCTTTGATAGCCCTTGCATGATGTGGCACCCATCGACAACCAGAAACACGAACTGGACGCAACAGACTACAGTTCAAAGCCTCCGCAGCAGCCTTCAGCCCCTCCCATCTATTGGCTGAATATTTGTAGAAACTGTGCACATTGTACAGAACTTCATCTATCACTGACATGTAGGAGATTGACTTTGCTGAATCCTTTACTGAAAGTTCTAATCTATGAGAGCAACAGTGTATTGCAACTAGATGTGGTACAAAAGTTTTTATACGTGTTGCGACTCCACTTTTGCAACCCATCATTGTCGAAGCACCATCAAAGCACACACCCACTAAGCTGTATCTCCATTCATCACAGTCAAACTCCAACTTGTCATGCATCATTTCCACAATTGCATCTTTGATATGACTGGCATCAGCCTTTGTAACTTTAGACAAACACACAAATACTGACTTCGGCAAACCATCATGAACATATCTGATGAACATTATTTCCTGCTCAGTTGTACTACAGTCTGTACTGCCGTCGCACAACACCGAAAAAAACTCTGCTTTTTTCAGTTCAGAAACAATTTCACTCATTGTCCATTCATTAATAAACTTGATGAACTCCCTGGCCTGTTTATCTGATGCATAGTTCATGCCCACACTGTCAACTCCTGCAATTGACAACAATTCCAATACCTTTGGAAAGTCACTGTATGTTTTTTCATTTAATGCTAACCAATATGCAGTTGTGAATAAAACCTTCAACATATCAGTTTGATGTTCATGCATTTTCGAAATTGATTGTTCAAGTGGCAACTTCGCTCTAGTAGATGAGGTTTTAGCACAAAGTTCAGCAAGTTCACTGCATTCAGATCGTTTGTGAATTTCACTCTTTTCGTGAATTTTTATTTCTTGTAATCTATAAGATTTTGTTCCTGCACGAAACGCATTCGATTTCCCACTTTTGTCGAATTTCCGACACACTGAGCAGAACATTACATTCTCATTGTCATCATGTTTTAACCAGTCCCGCCCTGTTTTCCATTCATTTCGAAACGAATAAGTTTTAGATTTCTTTACCTTTGGTTCTGTGTCAAGTTTTTCGGAACTCGTACGTTTCTCGGCAATCTCGCTACTTGTGCTTGGTTTCGGTTTCACTTCTATGTCATCAAGTCCACCTGAAGCAGGTTTCGCACTTCTATCACTTGCTTGATCAACATCACTTTCTTTTCTGTCTGAAAGTGTCTTTTTAGCGAAGAAATTGAAGATTTTTGATTGCCCCGCCGGTCCAGACATTTTCGCTGTTGAACACACGTGTGACAGCTGACATGAGGCCGGAAGACTTCGTTACTAAGCGATAACGTTTTTTTCCGAAGTTAAAAACGAGTGCAAACGAGTCCTCACGGAAATATCCGAGGACAATGAAGTTACGACCTTTGAATCTTTTCATTGGCTGTTAGCAAC